CTGTCAGTCCTGAAACAAAACAATTACTGTAACTGGGAGATTTGAGGTGGCTTTTTTGTTGTTTTTCTTCCTTTCAAAACGACTATACCTCCATTATTTACATGTTTCTTGGAAAACACCACGTTTCATATAAAATCGAGTRTGAGGCTGGCATTGCTCAGTGTGAGGTATTATTTCCTGCAGGATTCAGGGATGGGGTTGTATGGCTGGCTCAGGTTTCTGAGGGTTTCCCTGGCTGCTCTGATTTAAAACACCAGCARCAAACACCATTAAACTGCTCACTGCAGTAACCAGCTGGGTCATGCAGTCTCCCATTTACCATTTCTGCAGAAAAGCATTTTACAGTCCTTTTCTGAAACACTTTGTTTTACTATACTGTGACCCAGTGAAAAATTTAATTAGCATCAAGGATAGTTTTGTATTTAACAAGAAACAGTGTCCGTCCTTAACACATGCACTRGAAAATGAATGGTTTGTTCTTTGACCCAGCACTAAAATCTTGGAAGCTCTGCATACAAGGGGATGTGGAAGCAGAGAATCAGAAATGCCTTTGGAAATGGCACAGAGACATTTATTAATCTTCTGACCAATCAATCTTCTCTTTTTCTTCTTTCCTCACCCTCCCACTCCCCCTTGGCTGTGGATTTTGGGTGATATAAACATACTCAATAACTTATTCTTTACAGCTCCATAAAAAAACTTAGCAGTGCTAAAGTCACTTCACAATTGCAGTAGGAAACTCTGAGGAATTACAGGAAACTACCACGATTTTGCCTTTAGTCTGAAGTACTGTGATTCAGTGTTCTGAATTGAGCTGCAGAATGTAACCATGAGTGGCGTAAATCACTGCATGTTTTGAAGTCATCCTAGATATTTTCACACACATTWTTTTCATCATTGAGCATTTGCTGATGATGAAATTATACATGTAACATTGATTACTTAATTTTTTTTTAAAAATTCTCTTTTCAAAGTGAAATGAAGCAAGAATGTTAAATAATGCTGGACACAACAGAAGTCATTTTGGAGAGTGGAAAATGGAACGACTGACGGGCATTTATTTTTGCTTTCTGAATTCAGAAATTTCCAAGYCAGTAATCCTGGCTGTTGGGAGTGGAAGGAGTTTCAGAACAGAGTTGTGATGAGAGTGATGACACATGGCCTCTGTGAGGGTGGTGCACTCATCAAAACAGGGTTTGACTGGATTGGGTTTCCTCCTTTTCCATTCCCATTCACTTTATGCTGAAAGCAGGCTGCAGTTTTCCAGGATTTCAGCTGGACTTTGTGTCAGGGAGCAGATGAAATGTTGAGAGAAGGGAGCAGATGAAATGTTGAGAGAAGGAAGCAGCAAGGCAGATGTGCCAGCTGATGGGGAGAAATTAAATAAGTAATAAAATAACAGAGTCACAAGGCTCTGTGCCCATTTCGTGTGTGATATGTGTAGAACACTGATCAAAATATCTCCAACAGGAGCATTCAGTGGGAATCAAATTTTTCTGTCTATGTCAATGATTTTCAGCATATTTTATGAATTGCCTGGAATTCTGGTCTAGAAGAAAAGTTATTCTGATGTAATATAAAATGTGGAACTGGAGAGAACAAAACTTGAAGCAAACAAACAAAAAAACAACAAAAATAGCCCCCAAAAATAACAAACCAGTACATGCAACCCACAAAACAAAGTCTCTCATTTTAATTGAGATTTTCATAAAATGCTTCCTAAAGCTTGGCATGGAAGACAAAAATACCATGGCCACCAAAACAGTGGCAGCTWGCCAGAAACCATTTGGAACTTCCTATTACAATGGTGACTCAGAAGGCTGAAAGGAATCTTGTGACTTGTTCAACCTTTATCTTTGTGTTTTTTCAGAACTTTAAAGTGTGAAGTCTTCAGTTTTCACTTTGCTTTAGAACTAAACAAAATGTTGGAGTTCTGATGGTCTTGTACAAGTTGTAGCTAATCTCACACTTMATTTCCTTTAAGTTTCTTTTCATTCTGGTGAAAGGGGACAATTGAGAGAACCTCTTTTATAGCAGTGATTGGAAATCAGCAAATTAAGATTATCTGATTACTGGGCTCTGTGGACTGAGAGCAGGAGAGTGTGTGACTAGAAGTATGTAAATGTACACTGTGATGTTTGCAAATTTGTACCAGTTTTTGTATTGGATGGAAATTTGTACAAATACAGTGTGAAGGTCAGGGTTGAATACTGGGTGATGTTTAGCTCCACTGTTCTCTCCTGCTGCTCTGCCAGAATAGTCAGAAGCTGCACTAGCAGCTATTGTGTGTTTCCAAAAAATGAGTTTTGGGCTGGACCTTGCTTTTTCCAGACCAAATCATGGATCTAAACCCAACCAGAATGAAGAGYCTTCTTCCCATGGCAGCATCTGTGTGTTGTGATTTCTGGTTCAGGGGCTGCACTCAGTTCAGCTGAATTGTTTGAAAAGCAAATGTTCCAGTTGTGTTACTGTGTCTGGTGGGAGCCTATTCTGAATTCTCCAGTGTTTGTATTATCATCCCAATGGCTGGAAACTCCTGTGTTTTGCTCTTGGAAAGACTCGTTGAAAAAATGATTCAGCAGCTGAGTTAGCACGTTCCCCTCCTCTCATGGCTTTCTGCATCTGCTTTTTTTGGCTCAGGCCTGATGTTGTGCTTGGTGCCTTCCTCTTCTGTAAGGCCAAAATGCTCATTCTCTAMCCTAGTTCTCTGAGGAGAGCTTTGGGACAGCACAAAGGTACCCCACTTTTAAGATATTTTGTATTAATATTTTTTTTTTACCTCGAAGAAAGAGGCAAGGGTTGCTGCGGGTTGCTGCTTTTGGGAGAACTGAAATAAACCTCATGTCTCTCCAGGAGATAATGCTGAAAGAGGGAGAATAGATTTGAAATAATTGTAGGAGTGACATGTTTTTTTGCCATGATTTCTGAATTTAAAATGTTAAATACATGCTTATCTAGGTGGTGTAGAGGTGGAAGTGTTGTGGGGCCTTTGCCTTGGTTGCCTCAGTCAGAGGAGYACATAGGTTTGTCTTGGGTAGGCACATTGTAAGGTTTTTCTTCTTGCTCCATTTCCCTGTGTAGTATGTCCCAGGTGGCATTCTRAAGCTGGCATTGTGGTGACAAAAGCTGTGCCTAACTCATGCAAATTTTTGTACAGTTCACTTGTATGATGTTCAAGAACCTCCAAGGGGATGTGTGAGGCAGTGGTAGTTTGCAACTTGTTTTTACACAAAAATAYCACCAAGATTTGATTGTTCTCACCGAACTCTGATAGAATCTCATCATATTTTTGCAGTAATTTTTTGAAGTCTGCATGGATTTTAATTAAAATGTTACCCTYCTAAAATGCTCACTCTGTTAAGCAGACATCTCATTTGAATTGAACCGGAGCAAATCATTGCACGGTGTGTTTCTGTTGACAACACTTAATCCCTTTTAATTTCTACAGTTCAGCATTTCACTGATGGAAAATAAGAGGTAGCATTGTAGGCTATATCAGAGTTTAGCTACAGCCTGAACATCAAAGAGGCAGTGTTTCCAAACATGTGCAAATGCTGTGTTACTGAAAGGTCACTGCTTGTTCAGCCTTTGAAGTGTCACACCATCCATGGTGCATGGCCTTTGGAGAAAACACAAACATTTCATGGAAAGAACGGGCATTTTTAAACTTGTGTTATTAACTGTACTTCGTGTAGGTAGAGTTAGGCATGTTAGCACAGATGTGGGTTTTTAAGGTGCCTGTCTGTGTATCTGTCAGTGCTGCTTTCTCGTGTTAGAGCTTGAGACTCTGCAATAAAATTATCTGAAAAGGAGTTTGTAAGAGGCATGTGCWCAGCTTTGTCTCTGAATTCAGTTCTATTGATCCATAGGCTGTTGGGGATTTCACATCTAAATCTCCCACTCGACTTACCTCTCTTATCACAAAACTTGTGTTTCAGAAAGCTGATGGCCCTGCAAAGTAAACTTTGGGATTTATTGTTTTCCTTGATACATAAAAATGCGTCTTGTTTGGGGCAAAAAAAAAGGTGTAAGAGAGAATCCCATCATCAAACCACAGCCTAAACTGGCATTCTGGTTAAATTCTGTTGCCTGCCAGTTCWTGGTTTGAAATGAAAATTTAAGGAATTAAAGAATGTAAGGTTTGGACAAGTGTAGCTCGGTGATCACAGAATGGTTGAGGTTGGATGGGATTTGTAAAGCTATAAATATATAAATATGCATGTCTGATGTTGCTGTGTACCTTAGGGGTCATAAATTTCTTACAGAATATACTTTCCATGAGATACTCATGCTCCATGTCAAGATCAGCGTGTCCTGAGTTCTTGGTGAGGTGTTGTGTATGAGTTGTTAGGATGATAAGTTGTTATCTCACACCCACAGATGGATTAGTGTAGTTTTTGAGCTCCCACATGTGTCTGCAATAAAACAAGCCAGATCTCATCTTTGCTTTGCTACTAACATGAGGAACACTTTCTCCAAAAAAAAAAAACAAACATTGAGTGGCTCTTACTTTTTATGTCAAGAATTTGAGCTGTGCCTGTATAGGTCACACATTGCTGCTGAAGGTACAGGAGATGTGGCCTCATGTGAACTTTGTGTGTGTGTGGGGATGTATTTCTCAGCTTTCTTTTCCATATTTTTTTACCCCACAGTTTTTCATGGTTCTTCCTTCAGGCACCAAGCATGAACTATCAGTGAGCATAGCTTATTTGGCTCAGTGGGAGAAGCAGAAAATTCCTCAGTGAAATATTTGCTAAATGAAGGGAGAATGTGAAATTAGTGCTCACTTGTGTTACAGTTTAGTGATGCTGAAAACACCAGGTTTACTCTGCAATTCATGTTGGCATGTTTAATATTTTTAATGAAACAAACATCCCTGTTACGTCTTTATGTATTTCTAGCATGAAACATCGTTTGTATTGTTGAGACATCTGTTAAATTAAACTTTGTTTTTTTCTTGAGACGTCTTTTAAATTAAACTTGGGTTTTTTTTTCTTTAGGTGTATGAATTGGATGGCATTTCCTTGATTCTGGACAACTGCAGCATTGATGACAACAATCCTTGTATCCTTTACAAAAGAATTCTGTTTACTGAATATGATTCATGAGAAAATGTGTGGGGGTTTCATGGATTTATGACACTATTGCTTTCACTGGGTATTTAAATGGAACTGGCCTCATGAGCTTCTAGGTTGTATTTTAATTGTTCTGAAGTGAGCAAGGGCACAAATAGGTTTCCGTGAATGGATTCCAAGTAAGTTAACTGTAGTTATATTCTRTTTCCTAAAACAATATTACTGGTTTGAAAGTGTGCATTCAAAGAGTTGTGACAGAAATCATGCTCTGGTCATTGTATCAGATTTTAGAGTTTTTCCTTCCATTGAAATCTATTCTGGAGACTGAAATAAATACCCCTTCAATTCTCTACACTTATTAAATCAGGTTGGGAAGTGTGTTCTAAGCACAGAGACAAGGCTAGCAAGCTGTCACAAAAATGTGTGTAATTGAGAAAATCAATGATGCAAATTACTGAAATGTTGGGGGGGGGGTGTTTAATATAAATGGCATTGTGCTTCATATTAGAGAATTTTTTTCCCTGGAATTTAAGAGCAGAAAYTTTCAAAAATAGATTGCTATTAGAGGGAAATAATCTTACACTGCAGATAAGCAGTTGCTAAGCAGAATTATCCATCTCTTCAAGTAATAATTGTGTGTTCAGTGACTGAGCTGTGATTTTCTGTCATTGAATCATTGGCTCTTTGTGAGTTTCTGGTGAGTGCATCTGGAAATCAAATATCTCTCCTGTACAGAGTCAYGTCAGCTTTTTTATACTGAACACATGAAACAGATTTTCAAATGATTATAGAAGCAAAAGCACACTTTTAAACAAGTATCAACAAACAAACAAAAGGAGTAGTGTGGCAGAATTGTGTTTCCATGACCCAGATGTGATGGGATGGGCAGGGATCGTTACCTTTCCCTGAGTGTAAAAACACCTTGAGAAAACCTAGAAAGGAGTTTTGGTCCCAAATGACCCCTTTGCTGGAAAGCACAGCTGTGCAGCCACTTCTAGAATGTTTTTYTAGGATTAATCCTTCATTTTAGGTGTAGTAAAAGAGGATAAAGTTTGAGACCATCAAAGGGTACAGTTGTAATTTATAAACTTGAAYGAAAGGAAAACAAAATACCATGGGATTCTTTAATATGTTTTGAGCTTTTGTCCTAATCATAACTATCCTTCTGTTTCAGAGGAAAACAGGGTGTTTCAAAATGCAAGCAGTGCTATTTGCCTTTAGGTTAAGGAGAGACTCCTGCATGAGCTAATCTTTTAGTTTTGAAAATTCAGTTTCTTGTCCTGGTTCTGAAAAGTGGGAATGTTGTGCTTTAGCYTTGTAATCTGTGTTTAAAAATAAATTCAACCTGCTAAAGGAYAGCAGAGCCCATTGGAGATTCCTGTCTGGGTAATACCAGTAAAAAAATTTACTCCAAATCCTGCTTTTCAGGTTACTTGTGTTGAAAAGTTGTTCTAAATTCAAATATCTTTTGTTTTGCTTCTGAGTCATCATCTTCCTCCTCTCTGACAGGCTCTATCATCAGACAAGAGCCCTTCTTTTTGTTCTTGCCTTTTACCTCGTCCTAAGCTCTTCCTGCTCCTTGCAGCTTCATTTCTGCCCTTTCACAGATTCCATTTCCTTCAGGCAAACATCAGGAGGGAGGTGAGCCCTTTCTGATCAAAATACTTTTGACCCTAATCACTCAAAAAAGGTGCTTATGAGAGGTTTTAGATAAACTCACCTGTTTATTATTGAAGATTTTCAGTTGACCTTAACCAAGCTGCTTGGTTTTTCTGGGTTAAACTTCCTAACATTTGTGCTCATGATTAACACACACAGAAATGTCTTTTTTTTGCTTTTCAGTGGCTGTTCAGAAATATTTATTACTATTTTGGGGAAAAAATATTATCCAGAGTGCTGCAATGTAATAGCTGTTAGTGGTAAGACTTGAAAGTCAGAAGTGAACTGCAGTTTTGAAGATGGAATATTCCTGTTTTTTCAGGCTGCTGGCCAATCTTAGCCTTTTGAGACTCTTATAGAAGGTGCCTCAGTAAAYTGGTTTTGTGAATGTCTGGATGTTATCAGAATGGCCTTATGGAAGTGTCTGTTTTATATAAACTGATAATTAAGCACAGTTTTCTGTTAGGTGAGAAACCAATTGTACATGAAGAAAATATATCCTGTTGTGAGGATGCTTGTTTGTATATATATGTGCTTTTATATATACATGTTAGATATATGAATAAACACCCAGCTRTGCTTTAGGAGTAAGAGTTCTCAGCATTTTTGAAAAGAAAAACTGTGGTTGATGTGARTATCCATGCACAGATCCCTTAGTTTGGATAATGGATGAAAACATAGAAGAGTAAGTTAATTTTCAGAAACTCCTTCCAAAGCTGCATCTATTATATTCTGTCATCTGAGAGRTAGATTGAAAATACTTTCAACTTCGTGGCAGCAGTGAGTATAATTGTGGTTGATGAAAATGGCTMAAGCTGGAGGAAATGGAGTTGCTCAGGTCTATAACAATGGCAGTTTGTTTTTGCAAGATGCCAGCAAGGACTTTTGAGGGAGCTGACAGACACTTTTATTGAAGTTACAGAGTGCAACCTAAAACAGGCCACATGCTGTAAAACAGCCTCACTGCTGAATGGGAGAAAGTGGGAAGCACAAACAGGAGAATGAGTTGAATTTTCAGAGTGAGCCTCACAGGGCTGAGATTCTCATGTGGCTGTGCCAAGAAAATCAGCCCAATGTCACTTCAGCAATGGTGCCTTATTTTGGAAATCTCCCTGCAGGCACTGACAGTACAGAGTAGCTCGATATGACCTGTATTCTGTATTTTTATAAACATACATAAAATCACATTATTATATGGTCACTATGAAAGGCCCCTAGTGCTGATGAGAGCTGGCACAACCTCCTCATGCCCACTGAAGTTGTGCCCACTGGGACAGAACTTGGCCCTTCCAGCCCAGTCCATGCWGTGTTTCTTGCAATTACCCCTTTCCTCCTCACATTGACATTTGCTTTCCTGCWCAGGTAAAGTTTGAATGCTGCCTGAGCATTTTTTGGTGTATTCTTTGGTGGAAAGCCTCTATTTTTCATTATTGCCAACTGGTTTGTGTCATCCAAGGAAACACAGAGCACTACAAATGTTCTTACTTTCTTCTATCTTACTTTCTTCTATCAGCCAGTACCAAATGTGTCACTGGGACTGTAACTAGCACTGATTGAGGTCAGCAGTGGAAAAATGGGACCTGTTAACACAGGTTAAGAACAGAAATCTGTTGGCCTGAACCCTTCATTCCTAAAGCCAAAGGCAAAATAAAATAACAGCRGAGTGGAAACCAACTCTACCTGTTCTCAGTGGCACAGGATGCCCAGAGGAACTGTGGCTGTGATCCCTGCAGTGCCCAAAGTCAGGTTGGATGGGGTTTGGAGCASYCTGGGACAGTGGAAATGTCCCTGCCCGTGGCAATAATTAGGAAATAAATGAGCTTTAAGGTCCCTTCCAACCAAACCAGTYTGTGCCTCTACTCTATCCACATATGGAAGTAGGAAAGCAGGAGGAAATCACTATGTTGCCATACTCCAGTTTAGACCAATTTAATTCCTGTGGCTGAGAATTGTCTTCAAGAAGATACAGAATGCTTTGTGATGCACACAACAATCCTGAGCTGTGTCTGATTTTAGCTGTAAGAACTGGTCAGACGAGAAGCTGGAACAGCTACAAGTGTGGTTATATATTATTATCAATATTATTATTGAGCAAGAGCAGCCTGAGAGGGGCTCATTTCTTTCACCTTCTTCAGCAGACCAAATCCTGCCCCGTGGTGGAGCTGCTGTGGATTTTTTTGTAGCTGTGTTTTGTTAGGAGCTAAAGGAGCCCCAGGGGCTTGTGTGGCTTAGAATGGAATCCCTCAGTGCTGTATCAATTTCTGAAATTTCTGATTTATTCCTAAAAGGTTTTAGCCCAACAGCCATTTCCAAACACCCCTTTTTTGGTGTAGTTGGGAACATCTCTGCCCACCACTGCTGTTGCTGTCACTGTCAAGGTGGTTTTGTTTTTTTTTTTTTTACACTCCTGAAAGGAGCACTGCCAAATTATCCAGGCTTCTCTTACTGCAGTGTTAATGGACCAAAGAGATCTCAGTTTCTTTCCAAGCAGATATATTGCCTAAAATGTCCTGCTGAGGTTAAAAAAAATTAGGGTTAAATTTAAGGTTAAAATTAGGGTTAAAAAATTATTAAAGCTCTAAAGGGGGAGGAGCTGAGTGCTKGTCCCTGTAGGAAAAGGCACAGGAGGCACTGGTGTAACCTAATCTTGCTTAAAATCTTATTTGAAATTGGCTGCACATCCAAAGTTGTTGGGATAACCCAACACTTATATCCATATCTAAATCACCTTTTATCTTTTCTGGATGCTGCAAACTCTCTGGGGCAAAACCCAATGGAAGGTGGAGAACCAAGGAGAAAACACACCCCATTAAGCAWGATATTCAGTAGATCTAAATTCTGGCACAAAGACTCGACTTCTCGAGTATTTATTGCCAGAAAATGTTTATTTTAGAATGAAAACAAAAATAGGAGGTTTCCCTGTGAGATGTTCTACATCTCCTAATTCTGTCTTCCACACTGTTCCCCAGGAAAACTTTTCTCCTGTCAAATGCCACATTCTTCTTAAATGAAAAAGCCTTAAGACCACAGAAAGAATGCAGTGTGCAGTACAGAAAAAGATGCTCTGAGAAATTAAAGCACTTAATCTTTTTTTGTCTTCCAGAAATGACCACAGATCACACTTTGTATTTGAACATTTAAAAAAGTTACAATTTCTAATTGTGTATTTCAAGTTGTTTATTGTATAATCTCTAAAATTCATTTTTTAGAGCACCTGCAGGGTGATTAAAATACTTAAAATAGTTTAAAAAAACCTGACATTTAGAGTTTGGGAGGGGGTGGTGGTTGTGTTAGTAATTTCCTTGAGAGTTTATAAAATCCTAAAGCAGATTAGCAGAGATGTGAATATGAATCTATTCTTCAATATCTCATTTCTACCCTGCTATCACCATTAAGAAATGTGATGTACAGGGTCACTCTTAAAGCTGGAGGAAATGTAACAGAGCTGTACAGACTGTGAGAAGGCTCTTTCAAATGTTACATTCTAATATTTCTAATCCCTTGAGAGGTGTAATCTCTGTAGACACCAACTATGCGTGTAAAAGTGRGGAATTAAAGTTAATAACTATTTCTAAACCAA